TTAATGTTAATGTTTTTCATTAATCATTAATATTAATGAATTAAGTTTTTCTCAGAAAACATTAAGCATTAATATTAATGGTTAATGAGAAACATTAACATTAATATAAAATTAATGTTAACGGACCACCCCTACTTCCGACACTGAGATATCATAATGGGAAGAAAACAGTAAATGGATAAAAAATAGAAAGTACGCTTTTTCACAATGAAAAAAAATGAGCCATTTCATAAATACATGTATTATACTACGTTTTTTATCTAGAAACTTCTCGTCGAAAGCTGCAAAAATGACGATGATAGATTGAACTGTTTTTTTGTGGTAATTTTTACGATCAATTCTTTTCACATTAGTTATTCTCTAACCTCGTAGTCATCAATCAAGCGCAATTTTCAATTTGTAGGCATTACAACAAGAATCCTATTCATTGATGGAGAATATATTATATAACTGCAATAAAACAACCGTACTATTCATATGCAATAGTTCACAACGTCTAACTAAATTGAAATCTAATTATAGGGTAAATTAATCATTTTAGATATCTATGTATTCATGAATAATGTGAATCCGAAAACGATATGTTTAAAATAGTCTTTTTTTGTTACATCTATTTCATTATTTTTTTCTTCTAAGTTCGATGGGTGGTAGGTTCAACTACACACGCTTATTTCATTTGACTAGTGTTAGTGTTGATACGAGCTGATTATTGTATGACGATTACATTAAATCAAACACGTTTAACTGCAATACTTGTAACTATTCATTTTTATTTACGATAGGCGTTAAGATCATGAAAGCGATGCAATTCATCCCAATTGTTTTCGTTCTAATGGTTACTTTTATTGAAATGAAAATCTATCGAAATCTGTACTAGAACAATATCAACTACTTTTTTAAAAAGAACGTAATGGCAGTAAGATGACTTTTCTCATTGAGATTTTGGATCTAGAAGCGATTAGAGATCATTTTACTGATTGAGATATTTTCTTTGATACTTTTAATAATGAACATAATTGAAAAACATGTACTATGTATCCTTGTTCGAGGCTAACGTAAATAGAATTTTTTTGTAATAAACGACATATCTTCAGATACGAAATATCAACTTTTATAGATTACAAAACTCTTTTACTTTGTATTCTCAAAATTGAAATTTTATCATTCGTTATTCTACATGCTCCAACAGTATTGAAATCACATTTTTTAATAGATTCGTACGAAAATTATCTCTCTTTAGTCGACGATGAAAGTCATATATTATTTGATTTCTTTCTTTTTCTATCAACAATAATGAATTGTACAACTGTTCTTTTAGTCATTTCAAGAATAAACTTGCTAATTTAAAATACTTTTCATTGATGCAATGAAGCGGAACCAAGATTATTGAAATAGGTTTTTAAGACATAAGCTATCTCATTATAGATTTGAAAAAGTAAATTGAAAATATTAAAACCGAAAGAGAAGAGATATTTTCAAGCTTAGAATATAGCTATACATCTCTATGGAGTTTGTATGAATTTATCTGATTATTCTTCAGTTATTTTTCGAAAATAATTCTAATCGAATAAAACTACAAAGCTGATGCTAATCTGGTTATCCGATCATGAGAGATCCTTTACCTCTTAGTGAATGACATTTTACGAAATATTTTTTTTTGAATTATAAATCTAGGATTAATTTAGAGCGATATAGAGAATAGTTTGAACTACTGGTTGATGAAAAAAAGCACAAACAAATCAATTATTATAGCTCAAGAACATTCAATAGCTAATGAGATTTGTTCAATTTCTGATTCAGTACTAGATCGAATTCGTTAATAACAATGTCAACTCGTTCATAGTTGTGTTCAAAAAGAAGAAACTTTTTTATTACTATTGTTCTTTACTGTTTCTTTGTAAAAATATAGAAATTGATTATTCCGCTTTCATCAGTTGGATAATATAACACTATACTGATCGAACCATTGATCATCGTTTGTAATGGTAAACTAAGAATAGCTACGGAAAATTTTAGAAAATTGACCAAGTAATTCTGATGCAAAGCGAATAATTTAATGAGCAATTTTGTATACATGTAAAATTATTCAAAAGTCAAACATGAACATAGGAAAGAAGTAATTGTAATTTTGCGATGGAAATAATATATCGCGACCAGAATCACTCGTAATAATAATTGTTGTTAGTGCATATACGACGTAACACGACAACATAAAATATCAATTAGCGGTCTAGTCAATATTACAAGATTTGTTCTTTTGTCATTCTTAGGAATGCTTGTGATCTTTACGATCGATTGCATATATGCAATCGATCAATCAAAACCATCAAAGACCACTTTATGTAGTGAACGGAATGTTAAATTTTACAAATAGAAATAAAATTCATTTGATCTCGATTGCTGTCAAATTGTCTAATGATCACGAATAACAAAAATGACTATAAATAGTAATGATTTTCAACGTTAGAAATCATTCCCCATCTTTCTTTCTCTTCTTCTTCTTACATTATTATATGTATATGTATATTTTTTAACTATTTTAGCTTGTATTCACACTGACCATTGTTCAATATCACAGTTAAGTATTATAGTTTTAGTTTTTTAATTAAAATTTTTTGTTGTCTCAGCTTTTTACCCCATTTGTTTATTTTAATTTTTATATGATAATAATAATTGTCTTTCTATTTTCTATTTTAGTAATATAAACAAGGTAAGTATTCTTTTGTATATATGTCCTACGTCCTACCGGTGAGAAGGCCTTCCATACATCGGCGTGAAACTGACCAAGGCTATCTTGGTGCCCATAGCACGTACAGACCGCATATAGATCTTCCTGTTGTATGTTCTATACACGCTAGATCTATGTCTGTACGTGAAGAGGTTCGCCTCTCTATGGCACCACCAAGGTAGTTCTTGGTCGCGCGAGCAACAATTAACTGGTAAGCAAAAAAAATAATTTTTCATTCCAGTCAATTTATTCCTGCTTATTTCGTTTTAGTTCATCTCGATTTCTTCAGCAGCAAAGTAATTTCACTTATCTTTTTCCAAAAAACAAAATAAAATTAATTGTTATTTTTATGTTTTAGTTCCATTCAATCCAAACGAACACAAATTTAAGTATATATATTTTTCATTCTTGTTCCTTATTTTTATTGTAACTTGTTGTTATTTCGATTTTAAAAATAAACTTTATTCAAATAACTCAAATTTTTTCTTTTCATTTCAACAATACATATTTTGTGAAAACAAAAAAAAATTTCCTTTCACTATACTTATAAATTATTTTATTTTATCAATAAATATTTTCAAAAGCATACAAATTTTATTTTTCATTAAAATCTTAAATAATTTTCAAAATAACTCAATTTTTATTTTTGTTTAAATAATAAATATTTTTCAAAAACACTCAAAATTTTATTTTCATTCAAATAATAAAAATTTTCAAAGTAATACAAATTTTCCAAATGACTCAAATTTTCATTTCAAGAATAAAATATTTTCAAAATAATACAAAATTTTATTTTTCATTAAAATCTCAAATATTTTATTTAAATAATTCAAATTTTATTTTTCAGGAATAAATATTTTATTTAAATAATTCAAATTTTATTTTTCAGGAATAAATATTTTGTGAAAATAAAACAAATTATTTTATTTAATTCATTTCTTTTCATTTAACAAATAAATAAAAGAACAAGAAAAGAAACATGTGATGTAATTTTATATTTAGCGTTTTCTTTTCGTTGAAGTGAAAGAGTAAAAGAGAATTGCTTTTTTTGTTCATTTATTTCAAAGTATAGAAAAAGAAACAAACAAAGAAAAAACAAATCACAAGTCTTATTCGATAGAAAATCGTTGAACACGATGATTACTATTATCGACGACATAGAGATTACCATGCCAATCGAAAAACAAACCGATGGGGCTGCTGAACTGATTTACTCTTCCTCCTTTCCCATTTCCACCCACAATTACAGTGCCTTGTTTATTATCTCCTTGAGTCCAACGCATTACACGATGATTTCGCGTGTCTGCTACATAGAGTGTACCCAAGGTATCAACGAAGATTCCTTGGGGGTATTTCAATTGTGTAAGAGCATTTCCTTGACCTTGTCCTCCAGCGATCACAATACCTTCTTTTGCACCTTCCACCCATTTCATTACACGATGATTCCTCCAGTCTGATACGTACACTGAATGATCTCGATCTACAAAGAGATAATGCGGCACGTTAAGCTGATGGGTGTGGGTGTGGGTGTGGCTGTTTACTAACAAACAAACACACCCACACCCAATTTAAGGGGAGCCGGTATAAGGGTTTTATTGGTGCTTTTTTAGGGTGAGTCATGGAAAAATCAGGTATCGTGAAGAAATGTTTTTTGTAATTTTTGTTATTCAGTTTTTCGTAGTCTTTGACATTTTTTGATGGTTTTTATGCGTATTAGATTTGTTTGGTTTCTCTCATCGAAAGGTCAACCTGACCCCTTTCGTATTGTCAGCTTGTATAGTGATGTGTAGGTCGTATTGGAGTTAAATGTTTGATGTATTGTTTCGTTGAATTATGATATTGGATATTTTGCTGTTCGATTGTGCTCTGGGATAGTGCGGTACATGTATGGGAAGATTGTTGTGTATTTGTTTTGGTATTTTTATTGGATGGGACGACGTAAAATAAGCGATATGGGAACTTGGATTATCAGGTTTATGAATTGATTTTTTTCTTTTTTATATGTTAATGTAGCGATTATATGCAGAGAGCGTCCAAATTCCATCCGGGGGTGTAATGCTCTCGTTCGAGTGTAACCTATACATAAGATTTGGTCTTATGGTGCCATTTATTCTCATCACACCTATTACCTCTATCTTTCTGCCCTTTACATTTGTCTTTATCTATCCTTCTTCTTCGTTCTCTCAAATGGTTGAGTATTTAAGCGTGTGCTTTATATGTAATCGATGCGATTTATGATTTGAAGAGTTAAATAAAGTGTAATACCATCAACACAGGCATCTCTTCTATCTAAAATCGTCACA